GAGCGCAAGTTCAGCCGGGACCTGGGCGAGGACAAAGTCCTTTGCGAGGCCTCTACAAGCGCAGCGTCGACCTGGGCCTGGAGACGAGGGCGAGAGCTTCAGCGAGGACAGGCTGGAGGACCAGAAGGCCATCTACAAGCGCGAGGTCGGCCTCGACCTGGACGAGGACGAGAGCCTCTGCGCGGACAGGCTGAAAGTCCCGAAGGGCCTCGACAAGCGAAGGAGAGAGCCTCTGCCAGGACAGGCTGGAAGGCCAGGAAGGCATCTACAAGCTCAAGTTCGGCCTGGGCCTGGACGAGGACGAGAGCCTCTGCGAGCGCTGGCCCGAGGACCAGAGCGGCCTCTGAAGGCGCGGATTCGGTCTTGGCCTTGGGCGAGGGCGAGAGTCTCTGCGAGGACAGGCTCTAGGGCCCAAAGGGCTTGCGCGCGCAATTTCGAACTGGGCCTGGGCGAGGGCGAGAACCTCTGCGAGAACGGGCCAGAGAAACAGACGTGCCCCTACCACCCCAAGTCGGTCTGGACCTCCCTGGGCGAGGGCCCGAAGGGCCCGCGCGAGCGCGAGCCCGGTCTAGACCTGGGCGAGGACGAGAGCCTCTGAGAGGACAGGCTGGATAGCCGGAAGGAACTGTGCGAGCGAAAATCTGGCCTGGACCTGGGCGAGGACGAGCGCCACTGCGAGCGCAGGCTGGTTGACCTGAAGGGCCCTTGCTTGGGCGAGGACGAGGGCCTCTGCGAGAACAGGCTGGAAGGCCCGAAGGACGGGGCCCGAAGAGCCTGCGCAAGGGCAACTTGGACCTGGACCTGGACGAGAACGAGAGCCTCTGCGAGGACTGGCCGGAGAACCTGAAGGGCCCGTGCAAGCGCGATCTCGGACAGGACCTGGGCGAGGACGAGGGCCTCTGCGAGGACAGCGCAGAGGCTCTGCAGGGCCTGCGCGAACAAAAATTCGGCCTGGACTGGATGATGACGAGAGCCTGTGCGGGGACAGGCTGGAAGGCCCGATAGGCCTGCACAAGCCTCTGCGAGGACAGGCCGCGGGACCAAAAGGGCCTGTACATGCGCAAATTCGGCGGGCCTGGGCCTGGGCGAGGACGGCCTGGACTTGGACGAGGACGGGGGCCTCTGCGAGGCCAGGCTGGACCACCCGAGGGGCTCTTGCAAGCGCAACTTCGGCCTGGACCTGGATGAGGAAGAGAGCCTCTGCGAGGATAGGCTGGAGGACCCGAAGGGCCCCTACCAGCGCGAGTTCGGCCCAGGCCTGGACTGGGACGAGAGCCTCTGCGAGGACAGGCTGGAAGAACACGATGGGCCTCTACAGGCGCGAGTTCGGCCTGGGCCTGGGCGAAGGGAAGAGCTTCTGCGAGGGCGAAGAACCTGAAGGGCCTCTTCAAGCGCAGGTTCGGCCTGGACCTGGACGAGGACGAGAGCCTCTGCAAAGACTAGCCGGATGGCCTGAAGGGCCCGTGCGAACGCGAGTTCGGCCTGAACCTGGACGAGGACGAAAGCCTCTGCGAAGACAGGCTGGAGGATCCGAATTGCTCGTGCAAGAGCGCGCTCGGCCTGGACCTGGACGAGGACGAGAACCTCAGCGAGAGAGCCTCCCTGTCCGTCTTCTCTTGGTCGCCCTGGTGGATGATGATGCGGTCTCCGTCTGAGGACGGCGTCGCTGTCGGTTTGCTCTCGCTGGTGTGGGGAACGTCCATTTCGGTGTTCTGGTCCGTGATCATGTTGCGGATCGTTGCAGCCATGCTGGTATCGCCGATGGCGTGCTGCTGCGACAGGTGCGGTGCTTGGTGGTCGGCGGTGCTGCTGGCTGCCGTTCTGCCAGTCGGGATTGTGTTCCACTTGGGCTGCGACAAGCTGGCCTTGTTGGTCTGCCCAACTGCTCTCTGTCCTGAAGTCGATGGCTGTTGGTACAGGTGTCCGAGTTGTTGTGATGCGGCCCCGATGTGAGGGTCTGTAGGCGAGAGTAGGTCGTGCGCAGTCGGTCGGTCTGGTGTCGGCTGATGGTTCTGGGGTGTTCTGTGCCTCGCTCTCTGAGAAGGAGGTCTGGCTGGTGATGAGCTCGGCCATGTTGACCATTGCCTCGACTGCGATTTCCACCTATAGGTCGGCGACGAGGAATGATGTCGGCATGCGCGCGGGGTTGCGTCGCATAGATACCTTACTGCCCGCGAGGACATCTCTGTTATGATGCAGCAGCAGTACTTTGTCATGCATGCCGTGGTGTATGCGGTTATTGGGGCAGGTCGGCATGTTAGTCAAGCGATGGTTTGCGTAGTTTGCCAAGTCCCTGCGCCGCTAATTCATGTAGAAAGGGCGGGCGTCCCGCGCCTCATGGGACCCGCAGCAACTGGTGAGAGCCCCTCTTCCACGCATGCCAAGACCTGGTCGCACCTGATGCGGAGATCGTCGACGTTCGCGTCTCTGTCGGCCTCTGTTGGGTCGGTCAGTTCGAGCATCTCGCCGTCGTGGAGAGGATCGCCTCGTGGGTGTGTATATTGGATCTCACGCGCTCGCGCTC